AATTAACCACAAAACTTATCTTTCTTTGTCTCGCTATTCTTTAATTTTTTCATATTTACTATACAGCAATTAAATACCTATAAACCTACAATAAGTCCTTTCTCTTTTGTTTATGTACGTAACGGTGTTTGTTTGTTGTTATGAATAGGGGATAAATAGAAAATATTGATAGGCATTTATCAGTTGTTGAAATAGATTTAAATAAAGGAAGTTAATATATAATTATACGTTGTTTTTTTATTACTTTCCTCGGTTATATGACTCAGCAGCAGCCGAAATATAGGTGTAAGTGGTAGAAATGGCGATCTGCTACAATAGAGAAATTTTACTGTCTAAAAAAGAACCCTGGAGAAACAACCCCTGGTAGCAACGAGAAAGCCTTTTCGTAAAGCTGTACCCATGCTCAGCTTTCTTTATGAGTAGCTGAAGATACCATGAGAGTAGTAAAACTAATTACTGCAACTACATCACGGAGCTTATTGAAAAACTATTTCTTGCATTCACAATAGCTTTTTTAGTTCATTGGTTGGACTGCGTCTTGGATCTAGGTCTTTCAAAGAGCTAGCATCAACAGGCAGGAGCCAAGATTTCATAAATTTCTACGCAGTCTTGGTTGAGTGGCTCCTTCTCACAATATAAGCGGGCTGATGTTTGCTGGCCATGTACAGTTCAGTATTTTTGGATGACTTGTCTTCTATCAGCCGGCCTCTAGAACCTCGACCACCGATCATCATTAGATTTGATTAGTATTTGAAAAAATACCTGATAAGTAGGGAGAATCCTTGTTTGTAAAGGATCTACGGTCTGTTTCAGAACTAACTTTTCTTTGGCCTATACTAAATTTGCATCTACTCTCAAATTCTAAACTTTATATTTCAATGTGAATTAGAATTATCAAATATTTCGCGGCACATATTACTATAAAGAAACTTTACCTGCTATTAAAGATTATATCTTTTCTGTGCAAAGCACGGATTTATATTATTTCGATATTACACAAGTAAAGAAAGTAATATAGGTCTGAAAATGAGTTCTTATATTTGTGCGTCATTGACAGTAATGAATAATCACTCGTTAAGCTTTTCAAATATTCTTTTTAAATGTTATCAAAGACAATAATAGGTATATACCTACCTGTTACTGTTGTCAGAATGGTTTTTATTTTGAACTCAGAAATAAATATGAAACAATAATAAAATAAATAGTAAATCTAAAAATGCAAGGATCTACTTTATCTAGAAGGAAAAAGAAAACCTCAAAAGACATAGAGCAACAAAATGCAATCCAAGAAAATGAGGTACCTTTTGTGCAACATAATATTATTTTAATGTGGTAAATTTAACGTACAGGTAGGACTATTGTTACGTAGAAAGAGAATTTTGTACAAACGATATCCCGGTCCATTCTGCTACCTCAGTACAGGTTCGTGGACTTCACAAGCTTACGAAATACGAGTATATTTGTTTGTCAAACATGCAGTAGTCGTAGCTTAATGACTAGACGCCCGCCACGCCATATTGCACTGCACGCAAGCTGGCTGTGATCGCTGGCACCTGAACTCCGTGATTGACGACAAAAGAAAACGTCGTGAAGAAACCTGGATATCTGAGCTACCCTACGACAAATACTCAGGATCTATACAAAACCGGTTTTTAGTTCTACGAACTACATGGCTATCAGTTATATTTTTTTTATAGTAGAGGGGGGCAAGTGAGCATGCGGCTCACCAGATGGTAAGTGACTACCGCCGCCCATGAACAACCGCAATACCAGGGGAATTGCAGGTGCGTTGCCGGCCTTTCAGAAAGGAGTAGGCTCTTGAAAGTCCCTAAGTCGTATGGGTCCGGTCCGGTCCGGTAAAATCGCAATTCCACAGAGGTGGTGTACGGGGAAAAAAACTTCTACTAAAACGAACGGTGGTGGACCGCCAAGAATCCAGATGGTGAGGACGGTTTCATAAATTTAGACTAGATGTGCGTTCGTGAAATTTGGCGGCTGGAACTAATCCGAATAATTCCTCAGAACACTCCCCGTAGTAGATGCGATAGAAAACGCAAGGGGATGAAACATCCCTACGCAGCACCCATCGGTATCGTAAGAGGACAACTCACTAGACTATGAGGGGATGCATTTAAAAACAATTTACGTTAAACTCGATAAGGTCTGTCAAAGTAGTTTTATTGGATGTGTAGTGTCCGTGTAAATTAAAAATCAAAATTAAATTATACTATTTGTTTTATTATTGTAACAGGTCCTTACATATGAAGTTGGCGTTTTGTACGGGAGGAATATAAAGCCAATTTTTTTGTAAAATATATTTAATTAATCAAAGTATGCACCATTGTTATCTATGCACTTTTTCCATCTCATAGGTAGTTCATTGATCCCTTTCCTAATAAAACCATGGGGTCGAGAATCAATAAACTCTTTGAAGGCGGTTTGGACTGCCGCATCGGAGTTGAATTTTTTTCCTTGTAAGAAGATGTCGAAATTCCGGAAAAAATGGTAATCTGCTGGAACAAGGTCCGGGGAGTACGGTGGATGTCGAAGACATTCCAATTGTAGCTCATCTACCTTAGTGGTTGTTTGTTGTGCAGTGTGTGGTCCATTGAGTTATAATGTTCTACGTACACATTATAACTCAATGGTGTGGTCTTGCGTTGTCGTAAAACAGATGTGGCCTAGAGCGATCGACCAATCTCGGTTGTTTAGCAGCTAGTTCTTCCTTCATAGTTTACAGTTGCTGACAATAGATATCTGCCGTAATCGTTTGGCCAGATTTTAGAAAGCTGTAGTGAACTACACCGGCGCTAGTCCACCAAACACTCATAAGTAACTTTTTCTGAGTAAATTTTCGTTTAGGGCAGGATTTGGCTGGGTCTCCAGGGTTCAGCCATTGCGACGAACGCTTCCGATTATCGTACAGTATACATTTTTCATCACAAGTAATGATTTGATTTGAAATCCCTTTATTTTTGTGTCGGTTGAGCAAAGTAACGTCGAAAGTCGACGCGTGTTTGCAAGTTAGATTCACTCAATTCATGAGGTACCCATCGTTCAAGTTTTTTTACTTTCCCGATTTGCTTCAATACAGTTTTATCATTTACCCCGTAGCCTACTTTGGTCTCCAGCCGTCCATGGGGTTGGTACTGAAGGTCGAAATTTCCAGAACGAAAACGTTGAAACCAAAAAAGTACCGTGCTTTCTTTTGCGACACCAGCGCCGTACACATCATTAATCCTTCAAGCTGTTTCTGCAGCACTGGTGCCACGGTAGAAATTACCTCAACGGTACTCGCAAATATACCGATATTTTAATGTATTACTATTGTGCGATTATAAGCGACGCCAAAGAAAAAAATAATGAAAAAAAAACAAATGAATGACTGTTTTCAAAATTCAAATGTACCCGCTAAATGAATTTATAAATTTAAATTCGGAATTTTAACCAAAGAGGAGATATTTCAGATCAAAGTGATCAGTACGACTAAACGCTAATTTAATATGTAAGGACCCAATAATATACTTTACTTTTCAGTCTTTCTCAACTTTTGTTTAATTCTTTTGTACCACGGGTAGGACAGGTACGAAGTACTAGTATTTTCGGCTTTTACAGCTTCATAGGTCTCAGGGCCCGCGGCCTGAAGGCAGCGAGCTTAATTAGATTGCTATGTAGCAACTAAACCGCCTTTTTCCCTTCAAAATTTAAATATGTTTAGTAAGGTTTATCATTCCTTGGTGTAAAATAAAGTGTATCACGTTGTGAAATATTTCAGATCGAGTATCCCATGTGGTGGACTAAGGATCAATTGATACGGAGCTTCCTCAATTGTACAGAGCATATCCTTTGGAACTTCTTCATCTGTTCAATTGCGCTACTGTCTATTGAACTAGTAGCTGACAACTCCGACCCTTGGTTTATTAATTTATCTGACAACATCTACAACGTGGCTTATGCTGTCTTTGTGCTGGGTGTCGCCATTGACATCTATGTCAATCGGGAATCCAGTAACATTACTTTGTTTACTGCATGTAAGTTCTTTTGAACTGCTTTTTCTTCATCTCCATCAGCCTGCAACAGTCTACTGCTGGACGCGGGGCCCGCCCGACAGATTCAGACATTTGCCTTATATCGCGTTTCTATATTTAAAAAAAAAGTTTCATTTTGTGCATGTAAAAGCAAGGAACTCTCCTTTTTAAAACAAAATACCAACAGTCAACTATATCTTGTGAAACGTAAAGTTTCTTCATTTCAACACATCCTAAGTTGCTAAATAAATAGTTTATAATAATAATGTCCTCCAGGCCGAATTTCGGCCACGGCGGCCTGACTCAACTGAGGCTAGCCATCGGCGCAGGACAGGATTATAGTGCCCAAGTTTATGCGCAAGCACAGGTGCACTCTCTATTCCCTCACTCTCATAATCCGATGAGATGGTAAACCGACACGACCGGAGAGAGATTAGGCGCAGGACCAACGGCTTTACTTGCTTTCCGAAGCACGGGGATGAGACACCGCCTACTTCCTGACTCCGGGCAACTACTGAGAATTTCTCGACGGAAAAACTCAAAAATTATTTTTTTTGGCCCGACCCGGGATTCGAACCCAGGACATCATGATCAGCAGTCGCACTACTCTACAACCACTAGACCAACGAGGCAATAGTTTATAATATAAACTGCTTTACATTTTTTTTATAGAATAAGTGTGACAAACGAGTACACAATCCACCTGATTTACCTGAATTAAAGAATCAAAACGCAGATGGGTTGTTACCCCTGAGAACTAAGAGGGTGAGTACTGAGGGTGGTCCTTCCCCGGTCGAGCCGATTTATTCGAGCTACAAGTATACAATTAATGTGGCTGCAGCATGGCTCTAAATAATATATATCTAAATAATATATATATATATATATATATATATATATATATATATATATGATGAACCACTTAAATCTTTTTATGTGGCATATAGAAATACTTGTAATAAAGTAATAAAATCACTGAAAATAGAATATTATAAAAACAAACTGATATTAAGCAATTGTAATACTAAAAATACATGGAAAGTAATAAAAGAGTTCTGTGAACTAAAGCAAAATTAATCCAACCCACAAGAACTCCTAAACATTGCTAGCAGCCAAAGAGAGGCACTTAATATAGTAAATAAATACTTTACGACCATTGGCAGTAACTTGGCAGAGCGCACTTTTAACAAACTCGGTAAATTAGAATTGGAACTAGCAAGTGAGGCATTATCTCTAGGCTCACTCAAATCAATGTCTCTTCTTCCAACGGACATATTAGAAGTAAGACAGACAATACTAAGTCTAAAATCAAATAGTGCTCCTGGAAACGATAGCATTACAGCAAAACTTTTGAAAATGTGTACTCACGAACTAGTTCCACTTATCACCCACATATATAATCTTAGCTTTGAATCTTGTAGCTTCCCACAGGTTTTTAAGTTGGCAACTATTCATACCCATATATAAAGCAGGAGACAAACTTAATCCATCTAACTATAGACCCATAGCCCTGTTATCAATAGTTTCAAAAGTAATAGAAAAAATTGCGAACAAACAAATAATTAAATATTTAGAAAATAACAATCTACTAGCACCAAACCAGTATGGTTTTAGAACAGGTCGGTCAACGAATGATGCAGTGCTAGATTTGACCAATCAAATATCGACATATCTCGATGCGGGAGAAAAATGCATTGGGGTTTTTTTAGATCTCCAAAAAGCTTTTGATACCGTCTCAATTCCAATCGTAATCTCACGACTGCAAAATATTGGCATCAGGGACGTACCGCTTCTATGGATCTCCGACTATTTAAAAAATAGAAAACAACGAGTACGGATTTGCAACCTATTGAGCGATACTGCGAACTGCTCCTATGGTATACCACAAGGAAGCACATTATCAGCAATACTTTTTTTAATTTATATTAACGAACTGTGCAAACTAGACATTCCAGGTGCCAGCAAAGGTCCTAGATTGCTGCCCTGACTAACACCAGACCTAGTAGGGTACGGTTTAGAAAAGTGCCCATTGTAATCGACAAACCGATGCCGGTCTCGCAGATAACTGGCGAAAAATGATAGCGTGCGAGGTGTGCAACCCACACAAGTCAACTTACAAAGTAACACATCGTTGTCAACTTTCAGGCCAGCATCAACCGCGGGTACTAGATGCATCATCAGCTCCAGTAAGTTCCCAGTTGTCCCCCGCCCAGGGCGGAAGCCGTGCTGCGCGTCGGACAACTGTGCACTAATCTGTGGGTACAGGCAGTTGTGAATGGCCGTCTCGAACAGTGGCTGGAGTGCTTAAGACTGCCACGGGTTTTTGTAGTCACTTGGAGTCGATCCCCCATTACCTTTCGGTACAGGCACAACTCTAGTGAGCTTCCATTGATCCAGGAAACGTAGCACTTTCAATACTTACATTAAAAATGTGTAACAATGGTTTCACTAGTACACTCCTACAGTCTCTAAATATGAAGGCTGGTATACCATCTGGTCCGACCAAGCGCTTCGAGGGGAGGTGCGACAGCGCACACAGAACATCAGCTGTAAAAACTTTTTACGTTCAACTGCTTTCAAGGACACAATAGACGAGTTTCCGCCTCTTATTACTGGTCTGATCTTCTTTTTCCCTTTAACTACAGTCCATGTATTGGTATTGGTATCGCTGGCTGTCGGTTTCGCTGCCTTACTGGCCACTGCCGCGTAACTAACCGCTGAGGTCGCCGCCACCGACGTCGCTGTCAACTCGGGGCTAGAGGGCGCCGAACGATCGAGCGCGGGCTGCGCCGGCCGCTCCACCGCTACCGGTGCCAGCGACAAGCCTGGAGTAGTATCAGACCCCAATTTTGACACCGTTGCCTTTCGTGGACTATGTCGACTTTCTTCGACATTAGGCTCCGTATTTTTTTCCATTTTTCAAAATTGAAATCTGTTGCTCTAATAAACTGCATTTTTTATTAGCTTCACTTAGATCCTGCCTTAGTTTACTATTTTCCTGTGCTAACACTGTAACAGAAGCTTTAATTTCGCTTAAAATTTTGGTCTCAAAACTACTCAACTTTTCAACAATCACACTATTTACTTTATCCAATAAATCTGCAAAGTTGATCATCCCTTCAGATGTCAAAGATTCTTTTTTGTCTAAGGGAGTGCTTACTTCGAAGGATAAGTTGGATAAATCTTTGTCTCTCAGGTGTACATCAGAGCCACTAACTGGGGTATCATCGGTTACTCGTATGCGCTGAGTTACATTGGAACAAAAACTACACATAAAAGTGCGTTAATCATTAAACATAAAAGTGCGTTTCAGTTGCTGTTGCCCGTGCCTAAATGCAGTAGAAGTAATATTTACGCATTTATGATGGAAGGCCGCTTTGCAACCCTTGCATTTTATCAGTTCACTGATATCAAATTTTTTATTACAAACAAAACAGTTCATATTGTTCTAATCGCAATGAAAATGCTGTGTAACAGGAATAGATATAGTCAGTTCGCGCGCGAGTGAAAGAGCTTGATAGACAGCTCGGCACTTCGCGCTACTCACTTCTTATTTTTCACGCAAAGTCACTGCACTGCATAGTCGTCTCACAAATAATCCATAAATACGTCCAAATTGCACAATTATAATACTTTCATGTATATTACACACATGTATCACAACATAAAGTCCATTTTAAAGATATTTTCATATCTCTAAGAACACAGTTATCCAGATAAGAAAATAAGTCACTGAGAGCGATCCGTATCGTGTGTCTTATCCGACAGTAGTCAATAAAAGACATATACATAGACAATAAAAGAAACAGAACACTAGTAAAACGAAGAAAAACGCTAGTAAATACAAGAAATAATAAAAGATTTTTTTCCGAATTTCTATTTATCGTTTATGTTTATTGACAGTCACAAATAGTACAGGTGCCACACTAGCAAAACAAGAACTATGGCTATCTACCGACGCGACGTGTCGCCGACTGCCATCCCTTGTACTAAAGCTGCATATATATATATATATATATATATATATATATATATATATATATATATATATATATATATATATTGTAAAAATTAATTAAAAATAACAATTTTCTCTTTGTGTCATCTCTATTAAATACTTTACTGGCTAAAGTCGAAATCGACGTTTCTCCTGGAGCCTTGACGCTAGCATATTTTACTGCATTAGTCTAGTCTAGTCCTATTCGACGACTGAGGCACTAATTGTACCTGTAATTGGTAAAGCACTTTTGTGCAACAAAAACCCAGTGGTTCCCGTTAAGTGCGTTATCAGAATCAGTATTCAAACGTATAGGGATAAATAAAAAAACTAGATTTAAAAAAAAACTAATTTCTATTTAGATAAAATTTAATTTGCAAATTGTATGTGATTTTATTACCTCCACGCATCGGTAAGAGAAAAAAAGTTTTGCTAGTTTAATAGAGCCTTTGTATATCGCACCACACTCTTCCTCATCATAATATTTCTTGACTTGTCACCTAAAAAAGAAAAAGAGTGGATATGGATAAAAAAAGACCAAATTACTTTTTCTTCACCACGCCACCCTATTTTTAACACTCACTCAATCATTGTCATTATTAAAAAGGAAAGTTCAATGCCATGTTAGTCATTTACTCGTAGATAAGAAACTTTTGCACATGAACAATATTAAATTCAAGGACTATGATAATAAATCGTTTTATATCATTCTTTTTGAGCTTTACCGTGTAGTACCGGTGTAAGAATATCTACTGCACTATATCATCATCCCGTGGGTGGTGTAAGAGGCGAAAGAGGAAAACAAATCGGTAGTTGGGCAGCAGGTCTTTCTAAAATGACTGCAAATAAAAAATAAACTATGGTTGTCAACCCGCTTGCCAAGAGTGGTAACTATCGATTTATTTTATTTCTACTAAATATTTAAAAATTAGAGAGCAGGTTCCTTAACTGAACAAATATTTCCGTGTGTTTTCCAGTGGGCTTCTTAATCGATGTGCTGTCTTACATTCATTACTTTTTTAATGATTTTCACCCGAGAGAGAGCAAGCTGATATGTTACTACATGCGGTTACACAGACCCTTCAGATATCTTTGTAAGTTGTACAAATTTAAAGTATGTGTATAAGTATGTCACGGCCAAAAGCCGCATTGCGGATACATCCAGTCTTAGCTGACTGCAACAAGATTGCGTTTATTGCAATCAGAGAATAAGCGCTTTTTAACACGCTTTAATTAGATTGACCTGTATGTGTGAATATAATGAAGTTATATTATTAATTCTTTATGCACTTTCGGACGCCGGAATAATCTGAAATTTCCCACTTGTGGTATGATATCGTAAACAATACCGTTATTTCATGACTGACCATGACTATGATGTTAGACATGATCTAGTTTTCTTAGATTCTTAACTCGAGTATTAAGATATTTTTTATAGAAGAGGGAGCAAACGAGCTTGCGGCTCACTTGATGGTAAGTGCCTACCGCCAGCCGTGTACAACTGCAACACCAGGGGAATTGCAGGTGCGTTGCCAGCCTTTTAAAGAAGTGTAGGCTCTTTTCTTGAAGGTTCCTAAGTTATATCGATCCGGAAAAATCGCTGACGGTAGTCAATTCCACAAGGATCACACGAATGTTCAAGGAAGAAAACTTCTTGTAATATCCAAACCTAAAGGGTTTCAAACCCTTTTTTTTAGCTTCGTCTTACTATTTCAAATAATACTTTTGTATAAGTATATTTAAAAATATCGTTAGAAATTTAGAAAAGTATATGTTATATCTAAAACCAAGTGATGATAAAAATTTTAAGTCTTCCAAAGAAAAACGGTGGTTAGCGATGGATAAGTGAAAAAATATATCGATATATATCGTATCGATATATATCGTATCGATATTTTAAAACAGTATCGATATATATCGCCTGATAAATATCGATATACCATCATGCTTCGCATGATGTAGTAGCATAAGGTCGAATATGCTATTACTGGACGGTTTGACGACGAAATTGATACTAATTTGATATTCCATAATTTAAAAATATCGATATATATCTAAAACCATATAGTGATGATAAAATTTCTACTTCCTTTTCAACATCGGATAGCCTCCTAAAGACAACAAGTGGTTAGCGATGGGTAAGTGAAAAAATATATCGATATAATATATCGTATCGATATTTTAAAACAGTATCGATATATGTCGCCTGATAAATATCGATATACCGTCATGTTTCGCATGATGTAGTAGCATAAGGTCCTAAATGCTGGAAACTGGACGGTTTGACGACGAAACTGATACTAATTTCATAGTCCAACATAAATATCGAATATTAAAAATCACTATTTAAAAATATCCATATATATCGCCGTATCATAAAAAAATTGATATATATGTCGATATTTTTATGAGAAAATATCGATATTTTTTACCCAAGCCGACAAGCGGTTGTCGATATACCACGCCCTGGAAATAAACTTGCTTTAGGAAGGCCTTGCAACAATTTGCCTGCTTCGGTCTTTTAGTCCAATTAAAAATTCTTCAAGATTTTTTTAAAGAAAGGTTTTTGTTAAGTTAAATCAGTGCACTTTACCATAATTGGGTTCCACCTAATGGTGGTAAAGTGTATAGTGGTCAAGCGCTGGCTTGGAATAGTTAAAAAAAACTGGCAACTGGTAGCTAACAAGTGGTACGTGTTGTGGCACGGGCACAATCCGCGGGTTGTCATTCCAAACGTAGGTACTTACGGAATGTGTTTCGTTCGAGAAAAAAATGAACGTTTGCGGCAGTCAATGTATTTTATTAACGTTTGATGCATTCGGGTCTCCGAATACTTAGACGATACGACCTTAGACTTTATTACTGAGAAATAGAAACAGAAAGCCAGCAGCAAAATACCTATAGAAACAAATAATTGGCTGGGCCTGACAACTGGTGCTATCTACCTATATGTCCATGTACCAATATGCACGCAACCGTAGCGTATGGTTTTTATAGGCTTTTGTCTGGCTAAAACGGCATGTTTTACCAACCAAAAAACCAAAACCAGGAGGAGGACAGAGACAGAAACCCAAAGCCGTATATTATAACTAATATATTAAAAAAGGCAATAATTAGGACCACTTTGAAAAATCAACTTAAAAAAACTAACTTCACTACACAATAGGTAGGTACTAAAATCACTAAAATATTTACTGTAATGTCAACTGTCAAAATGGCTTGATAAAGCAGCGCCCTTTTGACTGTTTATTACAGAGGTCTAACCTCCATGGTGTATTATTTTATATTGACTGATGAAGAGCTATCGTATTACAGAGCCATCTATGCAAAGAAGCCTGTAATTTTTTGAGTTATAGGACCCTATTAATCACGGAACATATATACCCCTAAAGTTATTAACCGGATGACCGTATTACACTCACATATTATAATAAATAATTATTTTTAAATAATAATTAGCAATTATCCTTTTTATTTGAACAAAGCTAATTTATGATCATTCCGCAGGGACTCTTAATAATTACAACCTCAAAAGAAGTATTCTCGTAACGGCCATAAAATATTTTTCTCTTTTCTTTGTGCTTCGAATCACCTGGGCCCTTATTTGGTTACAGCTTCAGGAGGTATGTCAAAGTATTTCATATTAAGCATAATATTTTTAGAATACAATAAAATAGAATATAAATGTTGATTAATAATTTTTATTCAACAAGTCATATTTATTGAAGGACATTTATAGGCATAATCTCTGCCCTGGGAAAAACCAACAAGTAACTGAGCGGGACACTTGTAATGTTTAGAATCAAGTCATACTTTTCAGATTATTTTCATACAAGAGGGCTGATGGTAAGAGATCGTCGCCGCTAAAGAGCATCTGCAATACTAGATGAACCGCATTCTGCATGGCTTTTATTTATTT